AAAAACTAATACAAATATAATGTAGAGAGTAAAAGAAGAAAAATAGAGGTAGCAACAGAGGGCTGTGGAAACATGGAGAGGGGAGCAGTAGGCTGTGTGAGGGAGTCAGGGAGGACTTCCCGGAGGTGAGCATCTGAGGTGCTTCTAACGACAAGGATGAGGATGTGTGGGCCCAAGGGTACCAGTTCTTTGGAAGGGCCCTGAGTGCCACACCAATGAACCTGAATCTCACGCTGTGCACTTCTCAAGGGTGAACACCTGGACAAAAGCAAACAGCAGCCTGGGCTCTGCACTGGGCCTGGCTGGACTCCCCAAAGCCACCCCTGCCCCTCCCCTTTTCTGCTTGGCTTTTCCAGCATTGGCCAGGAGAAGCCCTATTCCTCCCGGCTGTGAGGCTGTGCAAAGGCCTCACCCTAGTGAAAGCAGCTTCCTTTTACTCTAGTGAAAACAGAGAGAGCGAAATTTCCCTTAGGCCCCCGCTGCCTTATAACCTTTGGGCCTAGCTTGATATGGGGGTAATTTGGGGACCAGTCTTCCTTTTCATAACTGTCCTGCTGGCAGGAGTATGGGCTATGCAGTTGAGTAAACCAGGATTCAAACACTGGCACCATTGCTTAGCGACAAGTTAGGGTATCAGAGCCTCTGTTTCCTTATCTCTATGGGGGATCATAATTCTCTCTGGAAGGGTAACACAGATGCTGAGTATCAAGTGCCTGCAGTGTGCCTGGCCTGTGACTGGTGCCCTGAAGCTGCCAGTGCCGTGAATTTTGTCGTCATCTTTTTTTCATGCTTAACCTTTCAGAGTTTCCAGGTTCACTCAGATGAAGACAATCCTGAGAGAATCCAGCAGATTATTAAAAGAGCCATTGAAGATGCCGACTGGATCATGAACAAAGTAAGTGCTTGGTGGCCACCTCCACCTGTGAGCTGTAATCTTGGCGATGACCACCAGGGGACGCCTCTGCCCCGCAGTTGCGAACAAACCAGCGGTTCCCCCTCCTCCAGAAGCTGGAAGGGGATGGTCTATGCCCTTCTGATTCATGCATTTGTTTTCTGCGAGGAGTTGGGATGGGGGTGGGGCACCCTCAAGCCTTCAGTCAAATTTTTGCCTCACAATGCTGGGCCGCAGGAAGAAGGAAGAGAACCGTCTTCCTAGAAGCGATAGTAACAAAGCTGGCAGCAGCCTTGTGATGCCTCAGAGAAGAAAGCTTCTTTTGGGGGTAGTGAGCCCCCTGTGTCTGGAGGGATCCCCGCAGAGGCAGGGTTACTGAGGAAACATTCAAGTATCTGTTTTGGTGGAGAAAGGGAGGGAGTCAGGAATATGGACTGGCTTGCTGGTCCCTACACTTTGGTGTTTGAACAACCTAGAGAGCTGGAGCTTGCCCTGCCTCTGTCCTTCTCTATCAGAATCTCCACATATGGGGTCTCGGATTCATTTCTTGAAACTCAGTGATGGGCTTCTGCGGGCCGTCCTCTGCCTGAGATTTTTTTTTTCTTTCTCTGAACAAGATTCATCTTAAAGAGAATGACGGGCATGCCACTAACCTCAGTTCTGATTTCTCAGTGTCTTTCTTATCCGCCCTCTCAACCCCATCAGCTTCCTTTTCTATTAAAGATGAAAGGGAACCCAGACGAGTCCACTATCTTAGTTTCACCACCTTCAAGAAGCGCCAGCAGGGGGCACCTGAGGCATAGATGACCCCGGTCCTCCCTCTCCCGATGGCTTCCCTCACTCACTTCTAACGAACTCTCTGTCTTTCAGTATAAAAAACAAAACTAAGACTCCAGGTCCCAAGGAGTGAAGCTGTCCTGAAGACACTGAAGTTGAGAGACCACGCTTCTGGAACTAATCAACCAGTTCTGGAATCTCCATTGGCCTTGTTGGATGAGAGAACAGGAAATCAGGAGTAGGAGAAACTGACATTTGATCAGATGGCTTTTCTCGCCATGTGTGTGTCCCCATTGTTCTCTGAGCTTTTCCAGTTGGTTTAGATACGAGATTTGGGGAGAATGTGGCTTTTTACTTTGCTCTGAAAGTGATTCATTTATTCTGGACGTCATTCTTTGAGACCTGCAGTGGGTGTCTTCTTGGATGGCAGCCTGTGTGGAGGACAGGGCATGGATTTTTGAACCAGACAGATCTGGGTTTGAATCCCAGCTCAGCGGCTTTTCAAGGGTGTTGCCTTCGAGCTCAGTTTCCTCCTTTGTGAGGATTAAATAAGATGAAGTTGAAGAGCCTGACACAGGATGCGGTACCGGGAGGCGCCAGGAAATGTGTCTCTGTGGGAGCCGTCCTCCCCGCTCCGCCTTCTACTCCCCCTGTGCTCCGTGCACCCCTCTGTGGCCCATTTCACACCGGGTCTTGGTTGGTTGTTCNGATTGTATGTTAATTACATCTCAATGAAACTTTTTTTTTTTTTTTTAAGTAAAAGGCAGGCTCCGGAGCCTGTCTGTGTTCAAATCCCAGCTCTATCCTTACCAGCTGTGTGGCCTTGGGCACGTTGTCAGAACTCTCTGCTGGTTTAAAAAAAAAAATGTGTGCATTAATCACAAGTAAAGCGAACAGGACAGAACAAGGGATCAGTATTATTCCTACGAGTATTTATAACACACAGTAAAATGAAATCATGTGCCCAGGCCCTGGTTCACCACGACAACTCTGTAAGCAGCTGCTTCTTCATGCAGAGCCCTCTAGAATCATGTGCATATGAATCTCCTGGGCATCTTGTTAAAATGCAGGTTCTGTGTAGTAGGTCTGGGGTGGGGCCTGAGACTCTGCATTTTAACAAGCTCTCAGGTGATGTGGATGCGGCTGGTCCAGGGCCACACTTGGAGTAGCGAGGCTCAGACCTCTGGGCATCCTGCCCTCTGTTGTTTGAGGGTTAGTGGGTTTCTCAGCAAGTGCAATGGTGTGGTTTTCCTGCTGGTCTACCCAACTCCGCCTGTTAGTGACATCTCCTTACCCGCCACCTGAAGATGGTATCCAGAAAGAAGACACCAGGATGAGGCTGCACATCTTGCGTTTGGTCCTGGAAGCCCTGCTCTGGGCTGAGACTTCTGCAGGACTTCTGCCCAGCCCGAGCTCAGAGTCTGGGCTCCGTAGGGTGTGGCATAAGGGGGTCCTGGCCTCTGCGCTGTATCAAACCTGCTTCACAGAGTGCTGGAACCTGGGGGCCAGGGCTGAGTATTGGCTCGATGTCTTAGAAGTGATGCTCTATGTTTTCCAGAAACAGACAGTCTTGTGGATGGCCCCGCTACCGGGGGCAGAGCTGGTCCAGAGGCCGCTGCAGCTCTACCGATACCTGCTGCGCTGTTGCCGGCAGCTGCCCACCAAGGGCATCCAGGAGCACTACAAACATGCCATCAGGCAGGTGGGAGCAGGGTACGCTGCACCTAGGGCAGGTGGGGGGTGCTTTCTCTACTAGGGGGCCTGTCATGGAGTTGGGAGCCAGGAGTAGGGGACAGGGATGGTCTTTCAGGTGGTGGTGGTGGTGGGGCCGCATTTTGGTAAGAACCGCCAGAAGCCACCGCTGGGCAGCCCAGCTCCTCTGTCTGGTTTCTGTTCAGGAAACAGAGCACACCAGCTCTGTGCCAGGGCCTGAATAAGGCAGCTAAGGGGAGAATTAAAATAGTGTGGGGAACAACAACATTTTGACGGGCGTTTCTGCCAACAATGCATGCCTGAATTTAATTATGAGAAAACATCGGTAAACCCAAACTGAGGGACCATCAACCACCTAACTGGCCTGTACTCATCAAACATGTCAATGTCATGAAACACAAAGAAAGGCAGAAGAATTGCTCTGGTTTAATGGGGATTAAAGAGATGTGACTACTAAATGCAATGTGTGATCCCAGATTGGATCCTGGACCAGAGAAAACAATTATTATA